GCTCACAGCAACCTCCAACTCCTGGGCTTAAGCGATTTTCTTGCCTCAGCTTCTCAAATAGCTGGGACTACAGGTGCCCACCACAACGCCCAGCTATTTTTTGGTTGTAGTTGTCCGAACCCACCAGCTCTGGTGTATGTGGCTGGCACCTTAGCCACTTGAGCTACAGGCGTCGATCCGCATCTCAGTCTCTTAACGGCAACAGCAAGGAGACAAATTGGATAGTCCTTAAAACACTGTTATGAAGACAAGAAAAACAAGTGAACTAAAGCTAAGTAGTTAAAAAAATATTGTGAGTTTGACAAATTGGTAATTTAGTGAATTGGCTCTTCAGAATGAATTTGGTGTATACTGACCTGGTTTTCCACTTGATTTCTCCAGAAGGGAAATTTCAGGTCATCTTGGATGCCCCCTCCTCCTGCTCAGCTTGGGGCAAGGGTCCCTGGAGCCTCCAAGTCTACTTCCCAGAAATTTATTGACATTTCTTATTGCCTGACATTCTTTCTTCTGTTCTCTTTCTGGGCTGATACTTGTTCAAAATTTCTTTATTAGCTTTTGACTGAGGTAGTAGGAGAGCAAGGAGGTAAACCTATGCTATCAATCTACCATTTCACCTCACCCAAAATTGCTCAAATTATTTTTTAAATTCCCTTCAGTTTGTTTTATAAACTTAGTTTCCTTGGGTGCTAGTTCTAGTTAATTCTGGTGGTTCACTTGTGGAGTTTGCTGTCTTCAAACAGTGTATTTATTCCTCTCTTCCCCTGATGACTATTTTTATGTCCTACTATGCATTTCTCGTCCTTTAATGGTTTAGAACCAATATTTGTTATCAATATCAAAAATAGCATAACTACCCCCACCGTCTCAAAAGACCAGAGCTTTCACATGTTTCATTCCCTAATTCCAAAATATTTTCCTTCAATTTTAAGTATCCTTTTATATTAGTTACATTAAATTTCACAACTACATTGTGAATATTTATTAAAATGTGACTCTTAAAGTTTGCCTAGATTTATTACTTACCACTATTTGTTACATTTCAAAAAAAAAGTGCCTTAGATCCTTTCTGGAACAAGGTAAGGGATAGATGAACAGAAACAGATAGATGGATGGATGGCCAGGTGGAAAGATGGATTGGTGGAAGATAGATTATTCATATTGCTTTCCCCACCCCATCAGAATTGATCCCTGCCATAATCCCCTGCCTGGATTTCTGTCAGAACATATACATCATGTCCTTTCAGTATCTGTTTTGCATGTTGGTCCCTCTCACACACATACCCAGTGCTCTCTCTCACCTATAAAATAGAAGTAGTAGTAGAGGTGCCCTGTAAGACATTGAGGAGAAGAAACTGCCCCCTTGCTGGCTTCATGGCTGGCAGCCAAAGCCAGCATCCACTCCAGCTCCACACACAGAACAAGTTCCACCCCAGCTCATGGCTCTCCCTACTTCTTCAGGGGAATCACTCAGCAACCCAGCCTGACTTGAGGCTATTTTCCACTTTAGGCTCCCCTCAGCTAAGAGCTTCCATACCCATGTAAGGCTCCAATTTCACAGGGTTTGTCCTGCTGTTACTACCTTGGTCACTGGAGCAGGTGGTGGGCAAATGTGATCTAGAGTCAGGGGCCCCCAGGGACTGAGATAGTCCAAAGACCTGAGCCTAGAATTGGGTTGGCATGAAAGAGGCAGTGATATTTGCTGAGGGAGAGGTTCTTGTGGGAGACCAAATGAATGAGTGAGGTAATAGATAAATAGTAGATCTTCTGTAAGTTGACCACCCAAGAGACTAACAAACTGGTCACTATATGGAGGGGGTCAATATAAGGAACTAGGCCTGCTGTACTGATATGTACATACGGTGCCTGTCTGGTCTATGAAAATTAGGTCCAACTTGAGAGGTGGTCAGTGTAGGGAGGTGGTCACCTGTGGAGATTCTACTGTAAATAAAAGAATAAATGAATGTGAAGATGAATAAAATGGTGGCCAAATGAATGTATAAATGAATAGAAGAATGGATGTGGCTCAGGCCTACAGTCCTACCACTCTGATAGACCTAGGTGAGAGAATCCTTGAGGTCAGAGGTTCTAGGCTAGCCTGAGCAACATAGTGAGAGATTATATCTCTATAAAAACTATAAAAATGGTAAGGCAAGAGAATTGCTTAAGCCCAAGAGTTTGAGGTTACTGTGAGCTTTGATGCCATGGCACTCTTTTGAGGGTAACATAGTGAGACTCAAGTCTCAAAAAATATATATAAAAATGGGCGGGTCATGGTGCCTCAAGCCTATAATCCTAACACTCTGAGAGGCTGAGGTGGATGGATTGCTTGAGCTCAGGAGTTCAAAACCAGCCTGAGCAAAAGTGAGAACCCATCTCTACTAAAAATAGAAAAAATAGCTGGGCATTGTGGCAGACACCTGTAGTCCCAGCTACTTGGGAGGCTGTAGCACAAGGATTTCTCAAGCCCAAGAGTCAAGGTTGCTGTGAGCTATGACTCTATGGCACTCTACCCAGGGCACAGAATGGGACTCTATCTCAAAAAATATACCATGTTTCCCTGAAAATAAGACACTGTCTTATATTTATTTTTTCTCAAGAAGACATACTAGGGCTTATTTTCAGAGGATGTCTTATTTTTATTAAGTATGATACAACAATCTACATTTATTCAAATACAGTTAAGTCATCTTCTTCTGGAACCCGACAGGGGGAGCTGACCTTGTTGGTATGGCTGGTGCCAGTGATACGTGGCTGACACTAGTGATACGTGAACGCCTTTCCCCTAGCCGTTCGCCCGTGGGCAATAGGATGCCTGCAACCACGGTTACCAAACGTGCATCAGCTCAAGTGCATCAGCTCAAGTGCGAACGGCTCGGAGAAAGGAGCTGTGGCAGGTAAAAGGTATTTCAGTCTTCCTTACTGCTCCGTGCTGAAATGCATGGCATGGCTATGCAGATACGCTGCACAGCCACGCCCATCACTAGGTCTTATTATCTGGGTAGGGCTTATATTTAACAAATGCATAGAAATCCTGCTAGGTCTTATTTTTTGGGTAGGTCTTATTTTTGAGGAAACACGGTATATACAAAAATGAGCTAGTGGTGGTGTCACACACCTGTAGGTTCAGCTACTCAGGAGGCTGAGGCAAGAGAATCACTCAAGTCCAGGAGTTTGACGCTGCAATGAGTTATGATGACACCACTGCACTCCATCCACCCTGAGTGCAACTGAACAAGACTGTCTCAAAAATGAAGAGGGCCGGGTGCAGTGGTTCACATCTATAATCCTAGCACTCTGGGAGGCTCAGGCTGGTGGATTGCTTGAGCTCAGGAGTTCAAGACCAGTCTGAGCAAGAGTGAGACCTCATCTCTACTAAAACTATGAAAAATTGGGCCGCGCCTGTGGCTCAGTGGGCAGGGCACTGGCCCCATGTACTGAGGGTGCCATGTTCAAACTTGGCCCGGCCAAACTGCAATGGGGAGGTAGCCAGGCTTTGTGGCGGGTGCCTATGGTCCTGGCTACTCGAGGGGCTGAGGCAGGAGAATCGCCTAGGCCCAGGAGTTGGAGGTTGCTGTGGGCTGTGTGATGCCACGGCACTCTACCAAGGGCAATA